TTTGCTTTTGTGAGCATTCCCAGATGCACTTGACACCTTGCAGAGACCATTGTCAAAGTTCGGACATTCATGCTTCTATTTACAAGCGTCGTGCGTTCTTTCCGGTTTGTGGAATAATCGAAGCCGTTTCATGAGATGCGTCGTTGTTTCAATGTCCTGATGCTGACGCATCACTGTCCTTCGGGCTTGTTCCATCGGACTCCAAACTCAAGAGAATCGAGAGATGTTCTTCATGCTTGTGTAGCTTGTGTGCAGAATTGTGTTTGCTTGAAGTGGAAAGAGATCAGCAGGTCGTCCTGATAGTTCTGACGTTTTGGTGAATAGCGCAAACCTGCTGCGCAGATACCCTCCCCTGGTACTTTCTGTCTGGACTGCAAACACACGACGCTAGCGTCAGCAAAGTGAGTGTTCCTGGCAACGGGCTTGGGCGGGAGCCATGGGAATGGAACTGCACAGGGTTCTGGGGCGAAGTTCTGCAGCGCAGTGGTGCAATAGCAGTTAGAAGCCATCGAAGCTCGCACGCTTAAAAGTATTGCATCGTGGCCTCCAAGGGCTTGTCGCTGAGGTGGGTCTAGTGGTGGGTCTCTAGTAGGAGCAAAAGCTGTTCTCCCTTTGTCCACACCCAGTCTTGTACTTTTCTCCCTAAGACGGTGCTGTTTCCATAGAGGGAAGCCCAAATGAGCCAATAGGTTCCATGAACATGTCCAAAACCGAGGTTCTTGTTCAACGTCTGCAACCCACCGTTCAAGTGTCAACTGACCCTGGGATTATTCAAGAAGCTGTAAGAGCTGTGTCTGAAGTAAGGGCTGAAACAGCCTTGGTGGTGTCTCAGGCTGTCGGGACAGTTGCAGGCACTCAGATGGAAGCGGCTCAGGCCGTGTCTGTGTCTGTAGCCGTATGCAGAACGGACTTGTTGCCCAAAGTGAGTGGGAGTTTCGCTATGAATTCCTATCTCATGTGCGTTCAGAATGGAGCACTCACGAAAGAAAACGCGTGATGACACAGGAGTTGCTGACATGTGGCAGTTCTTGTTCAATTTAAGATGCCCATGCCAACGCTCTGGCTGCCTCGACAAGTTTCCATAAACTGTGGCTCAATCGACCGCCGAAACACAAAGCATGGGTTCTATTTCCATTTTTTGCTCCAAAAGTTTTCTAGCCGCATTGTTGACATCCCATCACCTTTGCTGGAATTCTGGATGCATCTATATACTAAGCCGCTGCCAGTTCAATGTTGTGATGCTGACGCATCAGACAGTCGGGCCTCCAACCATATGCAGAGAAGTTGATACGTCCGCGAAAACTAAACACGCAGTCGCGAAAGATTCGCGAAAGATTTCGCACATTTTTCACGCACGACTACTGTGGTTTTGGCGAGTTTGGTGTTGGCCCCACAGCCATGAGGGAATGGTCGAAACCGAGCTGTGAGGCCACCAAGGCCAAGCCAAACCCATTGCTAACACTGCAGACTTTACGGCGCCGCCATGCCACAGGCAAGAGCGTTGACAGCAGATTGCCCTAACAGTTCTTAGGTTTTTGTGTGACTAGCACACGCATGTTGCACAGATAGTCTATAGGTCAAAATGAGATAGGACTTGTTGCCCAAAGTGAGTTGGGAGTTTCGCTATGAATTCCTATCTCATGTGCAATCAGAATGGAGCACGCACGAAAGAAAACGCGTGATGACACAGGAGTTGCTGACATGTGGCAGTTCTTGTTCAATTTAAGATGCCCATGCCAACGCTCTGGCTGCCTCGACAAGTTTCCATAAACTGTGGCTTAATCAACCTGGCAGGCGGCGGCAGTGCCATTTTACCAACCTTTGCACTCATGCGCCGCTGATTGAATGAATGACATTCCATATATAGCGTTGCCCTCATACAAGGCAAGTGCTGGGAAGCAATGCAATAATGAACTGCTTTGCTTGTTCATGGTTGCGCGCAGGTTTGACCCAGGCTCGAGGAAGCTGTTGTGAATGCGCTTGCCTTTTTTGCCTGTCGCCGCCTGTGTTCATGCAGGCTGAGACTAATGCTTTGCCAGGTTTGGTGGTGAGATGCGGCTTGAGGCAAGTGACCAGTAGCCTTTGATAGCCTCAGCTGAGTAAGGAGACTACAGCATGTTCAGACATCGGGATCTTTGGTGTTTCGGACGATGCAACGAAATCGTCGCTTCGATGTCGTCGGGGTCCCGAAGAGTACTAGCCTCCCAGTCACGCTCCATGCAAATGGAAATCCCTTGCGTGTAGGAAGATCATTTGCCCTGCGGACTATGGCGTCCGCTTCCCATGTCGGTGAGTCGAAGATAGTGTGCGGGGTGACGCGACAAACCCCAAGATCAACATTTGTATATACGGTCCATGGAGTCCATGGCTTGGCCAACTAAGTAACTATGAGCAAAAGACTGGAGACTTGATGCGAAAGAGTTTCCTGCAGGCAAGCACTTAACACCCCTGGAAATCCTTCTAACTGATTGCAAGATTTGACTTCTGGCGCCCTTTGCCTGCGATTCCGCCATAGTTGCTCCGCCCGTGGGGTCCCAGTCTAGGGGCGCAAGTGCCTCTTAACGAAACAGGTTGCTGACAGTTGCTGAAGTTCAAGCAGAGGCTTTTGTGTGTGGTAACATAGGTTACACGTGTGTCCTTCGCGGTCGCCTCAGGAAACAGCAGAGGACATACTGGACGCCCTAAATTTTGACCCACACTTCGGAATCAGTTCGCGCTGGACAAGTGCCCCCGCCTTCAGCCGGCGGTTGAGCGGGACAAGGCGCTGCAATGAACTCAGAAAAAGCGGCGAAGAAGAATCCTTGAATTGCATCCACTGGACGGACAAAACAGTTTTTGAACTACTATAATTTATAAGTTATATACATATATAAGTACGTTACGAAAGCCAGCCGATAGGCTAGGCTTGAGCTCTAGCGAACGAAGTGAGTTAAGGGGGTGTGGGGGGGGAGGGCGCGAAAAGGCACATTTTGAGAGGGTGAACCCGGAGCTTGGTGGGGGAGAGCGCTCCAAAGCGAGGGTCAGAAAAGCAGTGAAAATGGGGTCTGGTGATGCGAGTGATGCAATGGACGCCGAGTAGTGCATCATTAGCATCATGAAGAGGTCTGGAGACAATTTTTCTAGTCCTGAGCAGCGCATAGGGACTGTGTAGCTCTGATCATACCAAGAAGGACCAAGCAACAACGCTCTGGGAGCGAACGATGTGAGCATGTCCAGTTGGGCGAGGTAGAGGCTTGGGGATAAGAGCGCCGCAAGAGGAGAAGCAAGAAAGCTGCAAGCGTTCAACGCTTCATGCTGTGCTCCGATCTTGATCTCAGTCGCAGTGATACCAGCTCCACGAAACGACAAGCTTTCAACTATAGGCGCTCTGCTATTTTTTCCTCCCAGCCCTGCTCTCTATAGGGCCTCGCATTGATGCACGATACCCGAAACACATTTCAACGCAACCAAAAACCACATTTCGGGCATCATTCTCCTGGTGTTCACTGAT